TCTCTAGCTTACCTTATTGTAAGAATACAGTATAAAAGATGTATGCAAAATATGTGTTAATGGACTGTTTATGTTATTGGTAAGGCTTCCTGTCAACAGTAGGCTATTAGTAGTTAAGTTTTGGGGGAGTCAAAAATTATATGCAGATTTTTGACTACATGGGGGTTGATGCCTCTGACCCCTACGTTCAAGTCTGGTTTGAATATCTGCACTCTGACACTATGCCATGTTGCTTATGTGTGTCTGTCCAGTGAGGGACTGAATAAATAGAATCCTTTCCAGTTTCTTTTTTTTTTTTAATTTTTTTTTTATTTATTTCTAGGAGAGAGAGAGAGAGACAGCCTGAGCAGGGGAGGGTCAGAGAGAGAGGGAGTCACAGACTGAAACAGGCTCCAGGCTCTGAGCTGGCAGTCAGCACAGAGCCCAACGCAGGGCTCGAACCCACGAACCGCGAGATCATGACCTAAGTGAAAGTCGGACACTTAACCAACTAAGCCACCCAGGCGCCCTTTCCAGTTTCTACAGGAACAAAAGCCCAAGAGTCCTGAGCCTATTTAAGGAGGGATTAAGGAGCCTATATAAAGAGGTTCTTAATTTCTCATAGATTTCATTGCGAATGGTTGAAATAACTGTGAGAGCTTCAGGTACATGACAGGCAGCATAAGCAACAGTGAGTTAGAGCCCATCATGCCAGTTGTTGGCAGAGCCTTGTGCCTAAGACTCTGTAAAGTTGATTCTCATGATAGACTGCTGTGGCATTAAAGGCCCTCCTATCAAACCATCACCCCACTTCATAGCCTCGTGTGTGTGGCTCAGATCTTAAGCTCTTTACCTTCAGTTTATCTATTAAACAGATATCATTGTTAGGATCTCTTAGGATTCTGGGGACTCAGTGAGTTAAAATATGTAAAACACTTAAAGCAGAGCATGCAAGTAAGCGCTTGAAGAAAGAAAAAGGGGGGGGGGGAGTGTTTCGCCTTACAGAGGGTCAGTAACGCCAAGTGGTCATGTCAGTGGTTTGTGAATAGCTGCCAGCACCTTTTCAAAATGCATGAAACAGGAAGAGAAAGGATCCAAACTTAAGTCAATTCTTTGCTACTTTCCATCAAGTTTGGGAATTAAATGTTAGGAAAGAGAAGGCCATTGTAAACGTTTGCTAAAGGGAAATGTTGGGGACAAAACACAAATAAATAATCACCTTAGGGATTCTCCATAGCTCATCAAGAAATGCCTGACCATATATTATACTTAGAGATACCTCTTTTTTGAGGACTTGAAGCGGCTTTTATTTTTATTATTTTTTAAATGTTTTATTTATTTCTGAGAGAGAGAGAGAGAGACAGTGTGGGCAGGAGAGGGTCTGAGAGAGAGGGAGACACAGAATCTGAAACAGGCTCCAGGCTCTGAGCTGGCTGTCAGCACAGAGCCTGGTGCGGGGCTCGAACCCACGAACCATGAGATTATGACCTGAGCCGAAGTCGGACGCTTAACCGACTGAGCCACCCAGGTGCACCTAAGTGGCTTTTAAAACTAGACAGAACTTGGGGCATCTGAGTGGCTCAGTTGGTTAAGTGTACCACTTTGGCTCAGGTCATGATCTTGCAGTTCGTGAGTTTGAGCCCCATGTCGTGCTGACAGCTCGGAGCCTGGAGCCTGCTTTGGAATCTGTGAGTCCCCCTCTCTCTCTCTCCCTCTGCTCCTTCCCTGCTAGTGCTCTGTCTCTCAAAAAATAAATAAACATTAAAAAAATGTTTTTAATTAAAAAAATTAAAATTAGACAGAAATTTTCTAGCTCAAGGGGATTCTGAATTCTGTTCATCTTTTAATGGCTATGTTTCCTTCTTTCCCTCAATCACCTTTTTTCTTCCTTTCCTCTGCAGCTACAAATTTCCCTCACTGCTTTTTAAGATACATTTCTACGAGTAAGCTCCCTGAGTTCTTTTTTGTTTATTTTGAGAGGAAATGGTTAAGAATGAAAGTAGAAGAAAACAGAGAAATACTTACTCCCCTTGGCTGCCTGCCAGGAAAAATGCCAAATGTCAGAGGCCTCACTGAAAGCTACCCAGCCACAAGCACGAGGGATTGGCCCACCACAAAATTATCCTCCAGGGGAATTTATACCACAGCCTAGAAATTGGACGGCCTTGGGAACTTTTTCCTAATAAGGTCCTACAACTGGACCTGATAGTAAAATATTAAGCTGAAGTTCTCAAATCACTAAATAAGAGCCTGGGCTCTCAGGTTACATGCAAAGGGTTTAGGTATATGAATACTTTAATCTGTTTGGGAAGCCATATAGCCCAACAGTGAAGCACAGGCCCTGGTGCCAGAAAGACCTTGGTTTGGATCCTGGCCCACTACTTACCATCTTGGTGATTTTGCACAAATGGCTTATTCTCCCCCAACTACTATGTCTTTATTTTTAATGTTAGGAATAATACAAGATCCACCTGAGAGGGTTGTAGTGAGGATTAAATTAAAAGTCCTAAAACATTTAAGTGCCCTGCTCAGCAAATGTTAATTACCACAACTCCTGGTTTTGCTAGCCCTCAGCACTGACAGGTGGAAACTGACACCTCACACTACAGCTTCTAGGACCATGCCACTCTTAGGTTGTTTTCATTATGTCTACACCAGTAAGTAATCCCAGAGGATTTGAGTGGTTCTAATAACTCAACCACGAGTTTCTAGGGCAAAGGAAACCTAAAGGGAGTAACTTGAATCAAGGACAAGTGATAGACTTGATAACAGTACCTGTTTGAGCACCTAATACATTATTTTACCTAATCATCACAATAACCTCTATGGGAGAATTATTAGAATTCATAAATAAAGACACTGAAGCTCTCAGAGGCTTACCTACCTAGTAAGGGGAAGAATTGGGATTTATCCTAGAATTATCAAATACCAAACCTTCTTTTTGTCATTCTTGGAGCTGAAAGCTTCAAGATTTAGCAATGTAATTTAGGAAATCTCAGTATTTTTGCTCAACTGAAGTAAGGCAAAAGATCAAAAAGTAGTTCCTCTCAGCAGCCCCTTACCCACCTTAAGATCAAATCCTCCTTAATGGCATGGTTCTTATAGGCACATGCTTGGTTAGAAGGAATTCTGAGCACGACCCATTTTAATCATTTTAGAAAGACACCGAAAGACAGGGCGAATACCCTGAAGCTGTTTGTCTATCTGCACTTGGTAACAAATGCCTACCAACAGGGCAGAGCTTGCAAGGAAGGCTGAGAGACAGAGCACCCAAGCATAGAAAACAGTGTGCCTCGAACAGAATAGCCCTGTGGCAGAATGTATTTTTTTAAAGATGAACACAACAATGTCTCCTCCCACGTGCTCTTCTGAAATGTGATCTTGCAACACCCCAACTTCAGGTGGAGTTCAATGCACTTACCCTTGAGTCTGGGCTGGTCTTAATGATTTGCTTGACCAATCAAATGTGTTGAAAGTGACAAGACATACTGGGTCTTCCCAGGCTGTGTCATAAGAAGCATGTCAGCTTTGGCATGGGTCTGTTGAACCACTTACCCTTGAAATACTCTCTCTGAGAAGCCCAGGCCATACAGAGAAGTCCTGTGTGGGGACTCCAGGTGACAGCCCCAGTGGAGCTCCCATTCAACAGCTGTGAGCCTTGGGAGTCAGGCATTTTGAACATCTCATCTAGTCAACTCTACAGATAACCACAGCCGCAGCCAGGGCCAGCTCCATAATTTGTAGGACTCAATGCAAAATGAAAATCCTGAGCTTCCTGTTCAAAAAAATATTAAGAGATTCAAGACAGCAACAGCAGAGCATCGAACCAAGTGTGAGGTCCTTCTAGACATGGGGCCCTGTGTGACTGCACAGGTCACATGCTATGAAGCCTGCCCTGGCCTTGTAGTAGTAGACTCTCATTGCAACCAGGTACCATATAACTATGAAACACAATGGGACATTGTTATTCTATTTCACTATGTCTTGGGGTGGTTTGTTATTCTGCAAAAGAAAATTAGGACATTCCCACACAACACCTGTAGGTAGCCCTAACCAGAAAAATGCTAAAGGCAGCAAGGCTACCAAAGTACCTTCTGCTCAAATGTATATAGGAGGATGATTTTATAAACTAAAACACAAAAAAAATCTCAGATCCAAAAGTAAGGCTTCCTTGGGGTCAGAGAGATTTTTCTCATTTGGGCAGATCCTGGGAGAAGGCAGGCAGTATATTTGTCTCAGCAATAGCTAAAAGAAGAAGCATTGCCATTAAAAATAAAAGTCAAACAAACTATGAATAAAATTGTACTCTGTGATTAGATTTATTGGAACAATGGAAGGAAATTAAAAGCGAGGAAGCCAAACCACTTTGGTTATCTCTAAGGTATCAGGGAGAATGAGTTTTCCTGGAGATACATAACTAACTTTATTTTCTAAAAAAGTTAAAAAGGTAGATTCTGCAAACTGTAGTTTAATTCCCTCATTCTGGGCTAGATTATGGAATAGCATGTTAAACGAATACTTTGTGAATTACTAAAAGAGGAAGAATTGATCACTAAAATCTCACACCAATTCATTAGGACCAAATCATGGTAGACACAGAGTTTGACACACAGTTGGTAGTCAAGAAATACTTGTTCTTTGAACTAATTTTTTTTGATGAAGTTATCACACATTTTGTAAAGAATTCAAGACATTTAGCAATGCATTTCATGAATTCCTTGAAGGAAAAAAAGAGAGAAATGTGGGCCACAGGATAGTGGAGTTAGGAGATTATAGCTGATTCAACAATCCATTACAAATGCTTTACAAAAGTCAGACCACCTGGTGTATCTAGTGTAATGGGAATTAAAGCACGGATTTTGATGTCATCATTCTGCCATTTGTTTGTGGTAAGACCTTGGACAAATTATATAACCTCTATCATTCTCCCTCTCCTCACCTAAGTAATATCCCATGTGGGATAGGCATGAGGCAGTTAAACAGAAAACTCAGGTCAGTTGGCTATGTTCCGCCCCCAGAGAACCGGGGCAGGTGGTTCCTCTGCCAGGGACACAATTACAGTGAGAGGCGGGAAACAACCAAAGAGGAAAAGATTTTTGAGTAAGAGGAAAGTCTTTTGGGCAGTACTTGGCTCAAAAGACTGCCCTTTTATTTCAACAGACTTTAGATACAGAGATCCCTAATAGCCTGTCCCTCACCATAGGTCTGAGAAGAGTCACTGACAGTCTAGAGCCTTTGTGGGGATTTTGATGTGGGGGGAGAGAGCATCTGGTATTTGTATGTCTCTTCTTTAACTATTAGGTACAGAAACAAAACATAAGAATGATATAAATTCAAGCAACAGGAATACATAATTCAGGAAAACACCATGCTTGAAGACACAACTTAGAGCAGCATCAGGTATTGAGGGTTCTGTGCAGATCAGCATTAAAGGGGAAAGCAAACAATCTAGGGATAGGTCAGGACGACTGACAAAAGGCCTGGGCCTCACGTTCAAAGCTCTCCAGTGTAGATTTTTTATGTTATCTCCAAATAAAGTTATATATTTGGTGTCCTGGAGATATACTTAAAGAATAGAAAGAAGGTCATATTCATGATGCAACTTTAAACTTGTGTTTCATTACTAAACCACCTATAATGTGTTGTCAATTGATATTTTTAATAATATCAATACATTTAGTAAGACAATCTCATTATTTTCTGCATGACAAAAACAGATTGCTTTTATCATATGGTAACAAAAGTGTTACTAAAACCCACATACTGTAAATAAGTGTGATCCCAATTTTTACAACCTTATTTTAGCATTTTTATTTTTTTTTAAATTTTTTAAATGTTTTTTATTTATTTCTAGGAGAGAGAGAGAGAGAGAGACAGCGTGAGCAGGGGAGGGTCAGAGAGAGAGGGAGACACA